CTAACTATCCAAAATCTCTACCTCTTCTACGATTATATGTTAAAAACTGTACAATAAATTTAAAAAAAAAAAAAAAACATTCCTACAACTATATGTTTATACATAAACACTCAGAGAAAAAAATCCTCATACTTCCACTTGTCATGTTCTAATTGATTCATTATGAAATTTTCTTTGGGGTCATTCTTCAATTTAAATGTCTACTGGGTTTTTCTCTAAAATATTATGTGTGGGAACTGAAATCATGCTTAAAATAAATTTAATGGAAGCTTCATTAAGAAATTAAATGGTTAGATAAACAATGGGGGTTGACTGTTGAGACATTTTTTTTTTTGGTTCAAGAGAGCATAAATCTTGGGTTGATTAATATTTGCCCAAAATTAAATTGGATTCGTAGCAGGACCTAAGGTGCCATTTTGGAGTAATGCAATCATGGAACATCGTGCTCGTGGAGTGATCTAATCGAACTTTCATGCTTTGAATTTTAGGTCTTCGTGCTTTAATCTCTCGGAGTTTTGTAGAAACTCCACGAATGAAAAAAGGGTTCCCCGATCCGCTTGAAAATTTCCTGTTAAAGACGATCTAACTACTGTGTTAGAAACTTATAGAGTGGGAAAAGAGGTGGGGAAGGACAAAGAGATAGATTTGGCGTTAAAAAGAACTCAAGGGTTTATCTATATATAAAGCCAATGGAAAAGGTGAATAGTAATTTTGGTATCACCAAGCTTCAACAAAAAATGTTTGAACAAAAATGCCCCCAAGACAAAAAATTTCAAAAGCATCCCAAAATAATACATCAAATAAGGTAAGGGTATTTTCGTCATTTTAATAGTATTTTTTTGTGGTTTTTTTAGGGAACTTTAACGAAAAGTCATCGGTACTGTTTACTTTAACAAAAAACTATATTTTTACACCAAAAAGTCAATACTAGTACTATTAACTTTACCTTTATTTTGTTCTTATCGTTAAAACTTAAAGTTTTCAAGTCTTTTTTATTAATTTTCTTTAAAAAAAAAAAAAATTTAGTACATTATAATAGGCTAGCAATAATGTGATTCAATTTCTCTATTTTTAAACATGTTTAAAACATCTTAAGAGGCGTGTAATACCGGTTATAAAAAAAGTTATTCACTCGCGGATAATAATGTGATTAAATTAGTTGTCAAATGATTGGTTTTTTTTTTTTTTTTAACAAACTATATTATCTACACTAAAGGGGAAGGGTGGGTTTAGCCTCACAATAGGCTAACAATAATGTGATTTAATTAGTTATTTATTAAGTATTATTTTCTCTATTTTAAATACGTTCAAAACATCTTAAGAGGTGTGTAATGCCGGTTATAAAAAAAAGTCTTTCGCACGCAGATAATAATGTGATTAAATTAGTTGTCAGATGACTTTTTTTTTTTAACAAACGATATTATCTACACTAAGGAGGAGGGGGTGGACTTAGTCTCGCAATGAGCTAGCAATAATGTGATTCAATCAGTTGTTTATTAAATATTATTTTCTTGATTTTTAAACATGTTCAAAACATCTTAAGAGACGTGTAATATCAGTTATAAAAAAGGTTTTTCGCATGCGGATAATAAATGTGATTAAATTACATTAAATTATTTGTCAAATATTTTTTTTTTAACAAACGATATTATCTACACTAAGGTGGAGGGGTGGGTAGCCTCATAATAGACTAGCAATAATGTGATTCAATCAGTTGTTTATTAAATATTATTTTCTCTATTTTTAAACACGTTCAAAACATCTTAAAAGGTGTGTAATGCCGGTTATAAAAAAAAAAGATTTTTCGCTCATGGATAATAATGTGATTAAATTAGTTGTCAAATGATTTTTTTTTTAACAAACGATATTATCTACACTAAGAGGGAGTGAGGTGAGTTTAGTTTCATAATGGGCTAACAATAATGTGATTCAATCAATTGTTTATTAAATATTATTTTCTCTATTCTTAATGTAAATTATATAGAAACCGATTTTATTATGTGAATTCGACTATTTTAATTGATTTATGAGGGGTTTATTCTAGCATGATCTAAGATTATTCATTTACTTCAAATATTTGACTTTCCTTTTGTCAATTTACGCATATACATTTAAAACGTGTAAGTCGCGCGTAACACGCCGTAATTCAAAAAATGTCTTCGTCATTTTTAATTAGTTTTTTGTGTTTTTTTTAATTTTATTTTTTATAATCAATACCTCACAATAGGTTAGCAATAATGTGATTCAATTTCTCTATTTTAAAACACATTCAAAACATCTTAAGAGGCGTGTAATGCTGGTTATAAAAAAAGTTTTTCGCACACGGATAATAATGTGATTAAATTAGTTGTCAAATGATTGTTTTTTTTTTTTAACAAACAATATTATTTACACTAAGGGGAAGGGGGTGGGCTTAACCTTACAATGAGCTAGCAATAAAATGATTCAATAAGTTGTTTATTAAATATTATTTTCTCTATTTTTAAACACGTTCAAAACATTTTAAGAGACATGTATTGCCGGTTATAAAAAAAGTATTTCGTACACGAATAATAATATGATTAAATTAGTTGTTAAATGAGTGTTTTTTTTTTTTTAACAAACGATATTATCTACACTAAGGGGAAGGAATGAGCTTAGTCTCATAATGGGCTAGCAATCATGTGATTCAATCAATTGTTTATTAAATATTATTTTCTCTATTCTTAACGTAAATTCTATAGCGACATATTTTATTATGTGGATTCAGCTGTTTTAATTGGTTTATGAGAGGTTTGTTCTAGCATGATCTAAGATTATTAATTTACTTCAAATATTTGGCTTTCATTTTGTCAATTTATGCATATAAATACGTTTAAAACATGTAAGTTATGCGTTGTACGCCGTGATTCAAAAAATGTCTTATGCATGTGCTTGAGCATGTGCAAAAAGGCTAGTTGTTCTTCATTCGCAAGGCGCTAAGATGAGTTAGAATTAAGAGTTCCAACCGTTTGATAAATTTGACAGTTACAGTAAATTAGTTTCTAACAAGTCCTCAGAAACTAAAAGTGGTCTTTAGATGGGCAACACTGATTTTTAAAGAATTTTTACTACAAAACACCCAAAAACTAAAATTAGTTTATACTAGGAGTGACTTTTTAGAGTAAAAATGTTATTTTCGTTAAAAGTGAACAGTATCAGGAATGTTTCGTTAAAACTCCCTATAAAAGGAAAACTAATAAAAACATACTTGAAAAGTTTCAGTTCTAATCAAAAGAATAAAAATGTGTTGGAAGTGAATAGTACGAAGAGTAACTTTTTACAGTAAAAATGTCATTTTCATTAAAAGTGAACCGTAAGGGGAATTTTTCTTTAAAACTTCCAAATATAAATATTAGTAATTAGTAATACTAATAGATACATTAAAGACCATATCATCATATATACTAAACGTGAGTTTCCTTCGGCACTGTAGATCACCAGTGTCGGGATGGAAATGCCTTCGCTTCTCTGTTTTCTTTCCGTTTGTCTCCCTTGGTTCTTGCGCCGGAGAGACATTTTTGCCCCTGTTTTCCACGCGTCGATCATCCTTATTCTCTCGACTTCGAGAGTCTTCTTAACGAGTTAAGGTTCTGTTCTTTCGTTGCCTTTCTTGATTTCGGCTTTGGTCTTTTCGTTTTGCCCGTTCTTTCTTCCAATCCTCTGCTTCTCTGTGGTCTTCGTTCTTTGTTTCGCAGAAAGGGTTGCTGATTTTTGTGGTTGCCCGGCCGTTATGCGTCTATTTAGACTTGGGGTTTTTTTGTGTTCCGAGGGTTTCGACATCTCTGATCGGGGGTAATGAATTCCTAATGTTTGCCCCCCTTTTTTCCGTTTTGGATTTTTGGGTTGTGGCTAGGATTTTGGCGTCTTTCCACCCCGCTGTGGAACAAGTGTGATTCAGCCAATGAATATTTTATAATCATGGGGAAACTTGATATAGGTCCAATTTTTTGAGTCAATAGTAGGAATAGACCAATTGATTAAAATAAGTCCAATTCCTTAAATCTTATTATTTTATTTACCAATAATTATCTCTTAAATGATAAGATTTATTATAAAAATCAAATTTCTTCCTAATTATCTCTTTGATTATTTATTTATTTTGTTCTTTATCCCATTTTAAACCCCATTTATAGTTTTTAGTTTTTATTTTTATAATCAACCTATATCATAGGTTAATTATATTTATCTACCTATATGACAGATTCTTTTTTATAATCAAGTAAGATTCATGTATTTTGCTTGTAGATATATTATGTTTTTTCTACCCTTTTAGTTAAGTTTCATATCTTATTTATAGGTATGATATACATTCATATATTTGTTACTTGAGTTAGGGTAGAATGATTTGCAGATAGATTTATATCGATATATTATTTTTTTGTTATAAGATATTAATTATATTTTTTGGGGTTGAAAATTCATAATATTAGAAGATTTTAATTAATTTTTAATATTTTTAGAAAATATAAAATAAGCATTAAAAAAATAAATACATATAATTAGGTAATTAGACTAACTCCTTAAAACTATCTATTTTTGAACATGAATCTAAAAGCCCCTATAATCATTTTCTTTCGGTTTTTATTTTTGGTTTTTCCGTTGTTTCAATGAAACCTGACTATGTTTGGATGAGGGAAATAAACATGGAATTTTGTTAAAAGTCAGAATTTGTAAATTGACAGGCATCAATTCTCTTGTTTGGATTCATAAGCATAGAAATTTAGAATTTCCGCATGGAAAAAAAACTTGGAATTTGGGACCTCTAAATCCCAAGTTCAAATTCCATGTAAATAGGTGTCATTTCTCAATTTCTATGATTGAGAGTTTAAAAATAACAAATTCCGTATTCAATTTCATTGTTCTTTTAAGTTAACCAAACAAGAAAATTTACAAATTCTAGAAAATAAAATCTCGTCATTTCAATTTCCGTCATTTTTAAATTTCTTAGTAATCTTAAATTTCTTCACCCAAACATAGTATAATCGTTTCCTTTTATTGCCAGTTGTGGTGCTTTCTTGGGTTTTCCCTGTTAAAAGAGAATTTTGCATTTTCGTTCTTTGGTTGGCAAATCTCGGATTTGTTGGCATTTGCAACGCTGCTGTAATTTTTTGGGTATGTTTTTTGCGCTTCTATTTTTTTTCGGTTCGGACATGGATTGATAATTATTGGATTTAAATGGATTTGGGAAAAAATGGGAGGAGTTGTTGAGATTGTGTGAAGGTTTGTTTTTTCTCGGTTTTATGCTGCAGGGGGTTACAAATACAGAGAGGAGGAGAGGAGGAGAGGAGGAGAGGAAACATTAGTTTAGATTGTGATTTAACATGAACAAATCCATGTGTTGCCTACGTTGAAAGGCACAAATTTTTTTGACATGTTTGGGTTTTATCTCGTATGGGTTAGATGTCTGTTTGATTTGTTAAACCTGTGTATCTGCATCTGTCTTATTCATGTGGATTAGTGGAAAAACAAAATGGTATTGCTCTGACAGATTGTTGGTCACTTACAGGTCTGAAGACTAATGCTACGAATTGTGATTCCAAATCAGCTTATCCTTAATTCACAAATACCAAGATCGTTATTCATCTGTGGGTACATGTGATTTATAAATTGACATTCTCACTGAGTTTTTTCTGCTAATTAAATTTCTATAATTAGTTTGGTGTTTTCATTTCGTTTGCTTATTTGATTTGCCATTGCTTCGCATGGATTAAATTGCATAGAGAGATAGTAAACTCTGTTTCATACTTTTTTTTTTGGTTTCGGCTGCTTTAGGTTTGATTTGAAAGAAACTCAGAAAAAAACAATGGGCGGTGATGTAGAATGGTTAAATTGCAATTTCAGTTTTAGATGCTTAAACTTAGGATGTGTGTGCTGCAAAGTGAGTCGGCTAAAGAGGCCCTTGCTTATATCCATTATGTTGTCTTCTTTTTTTTTTTTTTTTTTTTTTTTTTTTTTTTGTGTGTTACTTAGTGCTGTGCGAATTCTGTGCCACTATTGTGTTCACTGATTGTGTTGGTTGTCATATCGATTGGTGTTAATCCTTTTTCAGAGTTCAAAAATCTCTTCCAGTCTTAAACTCAACGTCAATGGATAAATCCATATATTGGCTACCTTGAAAGACACGAATTTTTTTTTACATGTTTGAGTTTTATCTCAGGTGGGTTAGATGTACGTTTGATTTGTTAAATCTATGCATTTCAGTCTGTCTTGTTTATGTGGATTAATGCAAAAACATAATAGTATTGGCCTGACAGATTGTTGTTCACTTGCAGGTTACAAAACTAATACTACAACTTTGGTTTCCAGATCAGTTTATCCGCAATTTGCAAATACCAAGATCATTGGTTATCTGTGAGCACATGTGATTTAAAAATTCCTGTCACTGACTTTGCTCTGCTGATTAAATTCTGTGATCAGTTTAGTTTTTTTGCTTTGTTTGATCATTTGATTTGTCATTGCACCGTACTGATTAAATTACATACAGAGATAATAAGTGTTGTTTGGTATTTTTATCATTGAGATTGGTTTAGATTTGATTGATAAAAATAAAATAAAGAACTGACAAAGAAATGATACGCAGTGATATAGAATGGTTGAATCAATCATCTGCTCTGCTTGTTCTGTGGATACATCAATATAACTACCAATGGTATGTCAAAGTACTCAGAAATTTTTACTTTATTTTCATTAATGTTTTATGCTTAAATTCTATCTTCATTGATGTTTCTCTTTAGGGGAATTGACTTTTACCAATTTATGCATGCACTATCTTCATTTCATCTACTCTAAACGCACGTCCAATTACCAATTTCCCCACTAGTAAATTAACCTGGGCATCTAAAAGCACTGGTGAACACACTGTCTCCGAAGATGTACCCATTCCAGATGCCTTAATTAAGCCAAAGAACATTTAAACAATCAAACAATTGTTACATCAATCTTTGTAGCATTTCATTATTAGTTACATAAATTAAACAATTCTGCTGTTCCTATCATGTTCTTTGAATCAATTAAACCATCTGAACGCAATATATATTTAGTCAAAACATCTGCATTTATACTTTTGGATGCCCATCTTAAATCCATTAGTGATCAACCAAGTAATTTGACATGCATACAGAGCAAATTAAACAAAGAAGGTCTTAGTGTATAAATTGGTAACAGCCAATTCCTCTGAAGAGGAAAGATGGAAATGATGATTGCTTATCTACATCAAATGAGTTCTATTTGTCCCCTTTTTTACAACAAAATTACCATAAAACTGCCTTGCATATGTTCTTCCGCTATATTCCTATGTTTATGATCCGTTTTTAATACAGGTTTCCAATCATTTTTACCGTGTTGTACTCATTTAATAATGATTTACTTGAAATTTCACAATCATTTTACCCTCTCATGCATAATTCTATGCCACAGGTTTAGATAAATATCATAACACTTAACCCAATTTTATGATAACTGTGCCACGTTCTATTTACCAATGTTCACAGCTAAAATTGATTACACAACCTAGCTGCAGGTATACCGCAGATTACATCGCTCTCCACAGAGGTTCTGCTTCTTTTTCTTATTATGCTCTCTAACCTGCTAATATTAGAATACATTACCCTTTTCTTGCTCATGTATAAAGATAAGAATTATAAACAAAACAATCAGCTTAAAAAGCTAATATCTATTCGTCTTCTTCATTGTATGGTTAAGCTTACAGAGAACGTCTTATCAACCATTTGGGTAATTTTGTAAATCAAAATGACCATTTCTCTATTCGTCTTTCGATTTGCTCTGATTGAAAGTCGAACCAATGCCAACACAAGCAGACGAGCATCAAAATTTTGTATATTTGACTCTCATGTACTATTCCACAACAGTATTTGTTGTTTTTCATTTTGGTTGCAGGTTTGAATTACAAATTAACAAAATTGTACAGTCGTGGCCACATTGTAAGTCTGATTAATCATCCTATGAGAATCACTTAAAATTCTAATCTTTAAAACCAGGTACCTTTTTTTATTGTTGCCGTTAATGAAATCTCACTTCTTCTTGACACCACTCATTATACGTAATGTAAATAAAATTGTACGGTACCAAGACACAACGCGGCAGAACCACGCAGGCACTATTACTAGTTTTTACTACACATGAGATCTATAAAACATATTTATGATCCTAAACTATCTAGGATTTACAAGGTGGTCCATAAATTAAATTTGTCTAAATATCGTTGCTGGTCTGGGGTTTAAACCATCCTCTTCTCTAGGGTAGAACAGGATCACAATAAAATGCAACTAAATTACTATTTGGATCACATTTACTGACTCTAAAAATGACACTATGTCTCACCCTTATTAAAGATGTAATCCATCAGCAAAGATTTGTCAGTGAATATGGTACAAATAATAAGATTAATAGTCTACACTTACCAGGTTGAGATCTGGTGGAGCACGAGGAAGGCCTCGTTTGGAGCGTAGCAATACATGGTTATCCAAGAAGTATGTATGGTGGTGATAGAAATTACTATTGGGATAGCAGGCGGCACATAGATGATCAAGTCCAAAATCAAGGCAGGCAACACAAGTAAAATACAAGCCGCAGAGGTAAACTCTACACCCTCGGCACAAGATGTTCCTTGTCTTGATGATGTAGTAGAAGGCGAGTACTTCGGAAAAATCCAGGCCGCCTTCGCTGTTGCGATCCAGTTTTTCGAAGAAGCTATGGTCGTTGACAATCCAATTGTAGCCGCTTTGCGGAAGAATTCGTAAAATTCGGACGAGCCGATTCGGCCGTTGTTTGTGTCCATGGATTGGGAGAAGGACCATGCGAGCTGTTGAAGTTTTGGAGTGCCATGGCAATAGTATGATAAAGCAGCTGCATGTAGTTCTTCAATTTCCATGTAGAACAGGACACCTGGGCTGCTTAATTGCTATCGGTTCCTTTATATATAATTTTCTTTTTTGGTTATACAATAAGTACTCAAACTAGTGGTACTGACTGAGTCTTATGTTTAAATTAAGCCAGATTGTTGGTAGACGTTAATTCTAATTAACTGTTAATATACGAGTGTTGCTGTTTGTGCCACATTTACTTCACATTATTGATCAACTATCTAATACAAACAAGTCCTCCATAGAATTATTGATCACATTGATAAGTGAAGTCCAAATAGAATTACTCAGCTTTATTATTTTTGATTTTATTGGTACTTCAAAATTTTCATTTTGTTCTCATAAGTGTATTGTTCTTTCAAAACATATAAAGTACAAAGTGCATGATGAAAATTTGGAGTACGAATAAAAATATCACTTTAAGCTCAAACTCGAGCATATAGGATGAACCTACAAATTTTAAGGGGGTTATGCGATGTGAGAGAGAGATGCAGAAGGAGATAAACAACCTGTTGCATTAATATCCTATATATCAAAAATGTTATTCTTATCATTTATTTTTATCATCATTTTTACAAATTTTCTAAAAGAAATGAGATCCATATGTGTTGGTAGACCTTATCTTTATTAGAAAGATGATACAAATAGATTGTAAATTAAACTCTACTCTATATCTATAGATATAAAGCGAGAAGGCAAAAATGATGAAGCTTTCATAAACCCAAAATAGCCCTTCTCCCATTAGGGTTTCAAAAGAAAAACAAATTTACAAAAATAAAAGAAAACACCCAAAGACTATGAGTGGTTTGTAAGTTTATTATTTATTGCTTTGCCTTTTTGTTTTCTGGTTTCTTTTCAAATAGAAAAATAAATAATAAAATAAAAGTGTCGATTGTCACACACGTATGTTGATCATCTCTAAGATACGTATATTATAAGAAAAATAAAAAAGGGGCCTTTATAATTAGATTTGAAAGCAAAAACTTGTGCTTTTTCAATGAAATCAAACCCTAAGAGAGATTTGCGACTTCAAATATATTCAATAAAGTTAGATGAAAAGCTATTAGTTCCACTTGAGAAGGGTTATTTTTTCGTCTTTCTTACACTAAAATGGCGTATGCGCTGTTGTATGCATTGAGATTTGTGACTTCAATTCATTTATAGTACATTACATACTACTAGAGAAGGGTGATTAAAATTTCAATTCAATCTGTAGAACTAATTCCATCTGCAGAATTCAATCACCACACAAGAAACTAAAGCTGACATTGGAGAAGTCCTATTTTTTGCTTACTGGAAAAGAAAACAATCGACGAAAAAGAAATGCATATTAGTCCACTGACATTTTGCGGTTGTTAAACAGAAGGTCTCACACCGGCAGTTTCGCCAAGGATGATTATATTGTTGACATTCCCACTTCCATCCCTTTCAGATGGGGACGATGTTGAAAGCTGCCAATCCCCATTAACAATGAACTTGTGGTAATACCTGCAGAACATCATCTTATCATTGCTTAAAATGAAAAGTAGATGAGCTCATCGTGCGACATTTTCAAGATTAGCTAGTATAAGAAAACTTAAAAAGATTGACAAGAGCAAAGCATTGGCCTGATAGAAAATTCAACACTAAGCGTTAACGAAAAGCATTAGATCTCATGTTTTTATTCTAATCTTAAAAATCGAAATAACGCAAAGATTTTCGCTTACTTTCCTTTCTAACTACAGCCGTAGCATATTACTATCTTGCATTTAAAAGCGATTTGATAATTCTCATCTGAGCTTCAGCCATGCAATTAAACGTCAAAAAAATCAAGATTATTCATCAGACTTCAACGCTAGATTATCGAAACTGGTTCGCAAAAAAACTAAGCCTAACCAAAATTGAAATTTAATTTACCAACATTATCATACCTTGCTTCCAATGACGACTACGGCTGCGTAAATCGGAGATGCAAATTGTGGAATCAAACTTGAAGTTTTGGCGATGCAAATTGATAAAACCCAGCCAAGGATCGGCTCAACCTTGATCGTTGGACATGGAAGCACGAGGAAGAAATACAAGTTATTTCTTTCTTTTGTTACCGTTACAACGGAAAGGCCAATCCTTATAAAGCCGAATACCACACCTCAAATGTGTGAATGCCAGCTCGCAATACAGAACAGACTTATTTAAATCTAGCCCAATAACTAAAAGCTATTATAAATTGGCCCAATTTCATTAATTATATAATAACTAATTGTTGCAGAGCCTCATGTACTTATAAAAGGAAATATTAGCTTGCTGCTTGAGACTCGCTGCAGCATTCTTTGAAATTCAAACTCATCAAGTTGTGAGTAATTAACGTTCTAGCCACCCGTAACTTTTCAAATAAACCAAAAGCCTATCTAGGCTAAAAGGCTTGTCAGTTGTCACCACCAAAACTCAAACACCACGTTCTCCATTCCATCACTTAATATGTCAAAAGCTCACGGCACCCCCATGCTAATTGCCTAGCCATCATCTCATTTTTTACTATTTATCCCAAAAAGCATCTTAAATCTTTGGCTGCTAGTTTACTATTTCTTCATATTTTAAGTGTATTTCGCTTTAATTCATGAATGAGATGATTAAAAACATTTTATCTTCTTTTTCTTTTGTTCATTTTAGTTCAAGACAAAAATAAGTGAACATCACACTGAAAATCTAAAGTCATCGATTTTCGAGGCATATAAAAAACTTGTGCACGTCTATTTTACTTTTGACGTACCTTTTAATGGGTTGTCCTATTCAAACAATATTTTTTACTTCTCACAAACTTCTTATTAATTTTTGACACATTCCGACCTGGAATGTCTACTTGGACTCCAAAATCGAGTTGTGTTGGCCGACGGACCTGGATGGTGACAAGGCCATAAAGTGAAGTGTAGAGGAAAAAGGATGTAAATAAATTTAAACCTAAAATTGCCTAATCAAAAGAATGCGCGGGTGAGCGGGATTGAACCTATTTCACACGTGATGTCAGAGCATAAGACAGTATAGTAAATAGGATGAGGGTTATACCACTAAAGATAACCATCTCCTAAGATTTGCCAAAATCCTCGTTTACACGTAAGCAAACCCATTAAACCTGGAGGGGCGAAAAACAAAGTTGAGTGGGTCAACAAAACAACGTTTTGTACAAAAACCTTTGTTTTTGAACATACTAACCCATCGCCGTAAAACAAGTATAGTTTCCTTAAAATCATACTACGTATGAGTATGAAGATTTAATGTATACCAACAATATATATCAGAAATATGCCACAACAGAAATAATTCACAACAATAGAAATATAGGCATGTGCTTGACAAATATACTAGCACGCAAGTCGGAGTCACTTATGGCTCATCAATCTATACTAGCACACAAGTCAGAGTCACCTAACGTGACAGGCTGGGTGTAATAATAATATATGTTCTAGATCTACGATCACGTGAAGCTTACGCTAAGCGCAGTCACCTAACCTGTACGATATGCTAACACCTAACTTGGATCCAAGATGAGCATGGGTGCAGGAGGTGAACATACACGTGAAGGCTGGCCCTGGCCCCGGGCGGGAGCACTAACACCGGGGTGTAGTAATGATGAGCTAACTATATGAATATATGAATGCCATACAATTCGAATCAATATAATAAACTCACTTGAATTTACCTGCACGTGCTGTAGAATCATTTTAGTATTCTACCTCAGTACTTTATATATAAGCAAGTAAAATGCTTATGAATATGCCATAGCCATTTTATAATTCCAATCACAAAGCAACATTTACCAAACTAAACTAAAATTATGGCATAATAGGCGTAAATCCATTTAAATGCATTTGTGGAAACTATAATTCATATATATATAAAAGTAAATTGCCCACTCACAGATATGTAGTCGAAACGAAGTCTCCAAGCCTTGCTTGACCCCGTACGTCCTCGGAATACGTTTCCCCTATATGTGAAATTACTAATTAACTTAGTTTAATAACACATAAACGGAACCTTAAATAAAACCTTCGTAGATTGTTCAAACATAGGGTTTGAATATACGAAATCGATCCACTCAACATCACAAACCTGCACAAAATTTCAAAATAATTTTTGGACGCCAGACGCGCCACCACGCCCCTGCTATGGCACGGCCACACGCGCCATCCACGTAGAGGTCTAACGACCGTTAGGAATATTCCGTTAAAAGGTAACAGAAGTTAACGGCATTTGTGAACATGAATTTTCCTGAAACAAGAACACGTGTACAAAATATATTTTGTATTAATGATTTTGGGGTTACAATCTCTTTTACAATTTGACCCTCTTATTCTATCTTCGTAAGCGTAGATCTGTAAATGAGCTGTTGATCCAAAGGGTTGTCGGGGCTTGGTCTAGGGATGAACAGTTGTGCGGATTTGTTGATGCTGTTGATCCAAAGGGTCGTCGAGGCTTGATCTTAGGATGAACGGTTGATGAACGGATCTTCAAGTGGTTTTGGGCTTAATCTTGAAGAATGGGTATGTGGATTTGTTGGTGTTGTTGATCCAAAGGGTCGTTGGGCTTGATCTTAGGATGAATGGTTGATGAACAGATCTTCAAGGGCTTTTGGGCTTAATCTTGAAAGAGGATTTGACGAAGAATGAATAGGGCTTTCTTGATCCTTCGGGATTTGCTTGATAGCTTTAGAGTTTCAAAGCTTCAAGGTTTTGGTGTGATGTGAATTGGTCTTCTTTCCTCCTTTTATCCCTTGATGGAGAAGCCCATTTATAGGCTTTGAAAGTGAATCACCACCATCCATTTTTTTGGTGATGTAGGTGAAATGAGTGGAGTTGGTAGGTGAAGTATGTGTGTGATATAGGTGAAATGAGTGTGTGATGTAGGTGAAAAGAATAAAGGTTGTAATTTTAATGCATTGGTTAACATTTATTTCACTGAAATTTCAATGTCTACAAATGCCCCCACTTCAAGGCACGTCGTATACATGTGATTGTCATGTGTAGAAGATGCGTTTTGAAGTCCCTTAATGTAGATGTTGATCTAAGGGTCGTCAATGCTTGATCTTGAATTGGGCTGGAAATTTCTTTGTATTGATCTTGAATTGGGCTGGAAATTTCTTCGTATTGTGTCTTGAATTGGGCCGTCGAGGCTTAATCTTGAATTGAGTCGTCGAGTCATGTGAGCTTCCTTCGTATTGTGTCTTGATGGTGCTTGCGATCATTTCCTGTAGCTGCTAGATAGAGAGAGATCCCATGAACGTCATTACTTGGTCTAGCTTCAGATTCTCTTCGACTTTCTCCGTTGGAGGCTCCTCTTCTTCGTCGACTTCTTTCTTTAATGTACCAACATTTGGGTCGACCTTCACGTTGAGCCGCGCATCTAGTTGGTTAACGAGTGCGGCGATCTGCAAGTCCTTCTCTTTCACAGTCCATTTGAGCTTTACGATTGCTTCATTCATTTGAGCTAGTCCCTCCTCGATTGAAGTTGCTCCAGTGTTCATGACTTGCATGGTTGTGTTGTCGCTCGAGTCAGCATCGGAGAGTAGGGACTCTGAGTATTTCCTTAGGCTCTCCTCTCTGGGCGCCCTTAGCGAGGCTAGGGTGATCACGGGCTCGTGCCTCAGGTGCTCTTGTTCCTTCAACAAGGTTAATGCAGGGGCATAAGCCGCGGCAAAAAGAGCTCTTGCTTTGCTTTGGGTTGTGATGCCTGAAGTGTCACCACTTACGGCAAAGATGTTTTTGTTCTTCGCTTTGGTTGCGGGAACAACTTGATCCTTTCTTGATGCCATTTGTGTTTTCTTGCGGATTTGAAGATTGAGATGAAAGGTAAAGATAGTCCTATCAGGCGTGCCAAATTTGTGAACACAAATTTTCCTAAAACAAGAACACGTGTACAAAATATATTTTGTATTAATGATTTTGGGGTTATAATCTCTTTTACAATTTGACCCTCTGATTCTATCTTCGTAAGTGTAGATCTGTGAATGAGCTGTTGATCCAAAGGGTCGTCGAGGCTTGGTCTAGGGATGAACAGTTGTGCGGATTTGTTGATGTTGTTGATCCAAAGGGTCGTCGGGGCTTGATCTTAGGATGAACGGTTGATGAACGGATCTTCAAGGGGTTTTGGGCTTAATCTTGAAGAGCTGGTATGTGGATTTGTTGGTGTTGTTGATCCAAAGGGTCGTTGGGGCTTGATCTTAGGATGAATGGTTGATGAACAGATTTTCAAGGGCTTTTGGGCTTGATCTTGAATGAGGATTTGACGAAGAATGAAGAGGGCTTTCTTGATCCTTCGGGATTTGCTTGATAGCTTTAGAGTTTCAAAGCTTCAAGGTTTTGGTATGATGTGAATTGGTCTTCTTTCCTCCTTTTATCCCTTGATGGAGAAGCCTATTTATAGGCTTTGAGAGTGAAGCACCACTATCCATTTTTTTAGTGATGTAGGTGAAATGAGTGGAGTTGGTAGGTGAAGTAAGTGTGTGATGTAGGTGAAATGAATAAAGGTTGTAATTTTAATGCATTGGTCAACATTTATTTCACTGAAATTTCAATCTCTACAACGTTACCTGACGCCGTTAGAATATTTCATCAAAGTTGATGAAATATTCTGTCGTCTTCTCTGGTGGTCCTCGCCAGTCGCCGCCGTCCGCCACTGTCTGAACTCACCATAATTTGGAAATTTTCACCGGCTTCTGGGTAAAATTTCAAACCTTCATATCTTCTTCATTTCTCAACCATTTTTTCACAAAATTAATTTGGAAATGAAGCTTATGAAGAGTAGAATCGTGTTATACCTTTTTGAAGTCCAAAAAGTGGACGGAGGTGGTTTGAAAATGCCTTGAAAGGTACGGCCAAAACTAAGACTTCTTGAAATTGGGTGGTTTCACGTCAAAACTTCCTCAAACTTGTCTTAGGAACCTCGGGGAGTTGTGTAGAGGCTTCCATGAGTCTTAAAACGCCGTGACTCGGTCTGAAAATCGTCAATCTAGAATTCACCGAGTCGGAGCTTCCGACTTGGTGAGTCAAACCTCAACCAAATAGAGATTTGGTTATGAGTCGGAGCTTCCGAGCCTTTTGGTTGGTTTTATTAAACAGGCGTATATCGTATTAAATAAGCAGACTGGTTAAATTAATCAGGCGCTTATTTAGTATGAGTGAACACCAAACACCCAAGTCCATATAACTAGTCCTATCCGATCCTTTATTCGATCTTCCAAACAAGGCCTTAAACTACTTGTACTGCAAGTTCAGAGTACAACCAAACCCCATAGAAAATTTAAAAGAAAAACTCTCACTTTATACTAATAATTCGTTACATATTGGTATTTTCTCTTAACTTATACAATGGCGGTCGCAGTGATATATCTGCATTATATTGGATTACAAATTACTTGAAAGGCTTTTTCATTTATATGTCTCATTAATCCCTTTTTTTTTTTTCCTGAACTTGCAAATTGTGACTTTTTTTTCCTGTAGTTTGATTTGGTGTCTCAACTCAATCAGTTATTCAAGAAAATCGTTTGTTTGACTATTGTGAAGCTAGAGTCAAAACAAAAAAAAAAACTTCGAATTTCGAAGAAAACATTACACCAATCAAATCAATAATTTTGATGAAATGAATAACATGTGACACCAACTAAAAATAAAGAGAGAAATCACCCACGGTTACAAATTGAAGCAAAAAATTATATTACAATCAAAACGCATTGTATAAACTATTAGCCTTTGGCACACACACATCTGTAGAGGTTACTTGGATTTGCAAACTCTTCAAGGACATAGCATTTCCTCTTTCTAAAGTTCTTGTGATTTGGTGTGACAATGTATCTGCCATCTCTCTAGCATCTAATCTTGTTTTCCATGCTAGAACCAAACACATCGAAATTGACTATCACTATATTCGGTAACTAGTCCTAGCTTCTCTTCTTCAAGTTCGATTTGTTCCCAGTCATCACCAAATTGCAGATATTCATACCAAATCCTTGTCCAAAGCTTGATTTTAGCTTCTCAAATCCAAGCTTTCCCTTGGTACTCATCCGTTCAGCTTGAGGGGGTGTAAAGAGACATATCATTCTCAACAGTCCAAGTCATCAATACAGTCAACAGTAGAGTCAACAGTTACTTAGTGTAGAAGTTTTGTTTGTTGTAACTGCATTATAACTAATCATAGATTAAGGTTAATTAGTTACGTTTGTTAATAACTAATGTTTATTAACTGATTTGTATAAATACCCAAATGTAAATCTTTTAATCAATGAGAAATATATTTTTAATATATCTACATTAGATTGGATTACGAATTACTTGAAAGGCTTTTTCATTTATATGTTTCATTAATCTTTTTTCTTTTTCTTTTTTTTCTGAACTTGCAAATTGTGACTTTTTTTTCCCTGTACTTTGATTCGGTGTCTCAACTCAATTAGTTATTCAAGAAAATCATTAGTTTGACTATTGTGAAACTAGAGTCAAAACAAAAAAGAACTTTGAATTTCGAAGAAAACGTTACACCAATCAAATCAATAATTTTGATGAAATGAATAACATGTGACACCAAATAAAAATAAAGAGATTACAAATTGAAGCGAAAAATTACATTAGAATCAAAACGCATTGTATAAACTATTAGCCTTACCTAAAAGTAATACGTTGTTTTTTTTTTTTTTTTTTTTTTTTTAGTTTTCAATGAAAGTAGCACGTAATTCAGCTTCTTATTGTTTGGAAGCTTCAAGTTTGAAGACGAAACCCCACCACCGAAGACTAATGCTACCGACCATATATAGCACGTAATTAGGCACATCACAAGCGAAAGTTCCTTGAAACCTAACCTCATCGATAGTATATATACCACATTCTGACTTCCCTGAGTGCAACTCAATTCCATATCTAAGAATCAAGAATATAGTTTTAAAATGGAGGATGTGCGCCAAATAGCATTTGCATACTTCAAGGATGCGTCGAAGCAAATTCAACGGTTGGTAGATGAGTTTTTCTCCGAAATGGATGTTGACGGAAATGACCGAGTGAGCTTGCAAGAGTTCACGGAATACATGGAGAGGTATGAAGATTGCAAGCATCTGTGTAACTCCCTTTTTTTCGACGAACTGAAGAAGGAAGGACATGAAGAGCTTGATTTCGTGGACATGATGACTCTCTTCTACATTGTTTATAGTGGAAAACCTTTTTGTAACGGGCAGTGCAAAAAATTTATCAAGGGAGTTTATTTCGTTTGTGTCAAATGCTTTGACGATTATGCCACTGATGCCATCAACACATTCAATGTTTGCACTGCTTGTTATTCTGATGGCAAATATGTCCATGGCCACGACAAACTCCTAGATAGCTTCCTGCTTCTTCAAAGCAAGAGGATGACAGCTTTGAACCAACGAGCAGCGTCAGTCACTAATAAGGTACTTATGGATAGTATCGTTCTATTTTACATCTTTTTTCCAACTCGAACCATCCACCTTCGACCTAGACCCAGTATTTTAGGCCCAAGCACTAACATATTAATTTAGAATCTACGACAGCTGATACAATTTGATTATAAGAATAAAAGATGTTATTCTTACAATTTATATGTATCATCTCTTTAATAAAGATAGTACCCATATGTTTGGTGGCTCTATCTCTATTAAAAAGATGATACAAATAGATGGTAAGTGTAACACTACTCTACATAAAATTGCTAATCGCGTACAAGGCTTTGTTTGGTGTCTGGGTCGTTTCTGATACCAACCTATAGGCTATAGTGTGTTGGTCGTCGGGAAAGTATAATTTCTTTTTCTGAAGTGTGGACTACTAGTACTGCCAATACAATGACCAAAATGAAATTTCGAGTAAACTACATTGACCGTTAGTGCGATTCTATCTTTTTATTTGGCAAACCTTCAAGTTTCAGCCTTATTACCATAGTTTCGTGGACAAATAAAAAAAATATTCTCAATTGGATCTTGTCTACATCGCTCAATTATTGAAGTTAGTTAATGAAAAACGAGTAGATGAGACGAAGTACACATTTTAGACTACTTGTCATGCAAGTTCATAGTACAACCAAACCCCATAGAAAATTTAAAAGCAAAACTCTCACTTTATACATATTGGTATTTTCCCTTAACTTATACAATGGTGGTCTTAGGGATGTATCTGCATTAGATTGGATTACTTGAAAGGCTTTTTCATTTATAATGTCTCATTAATCTTTTATTTTTCTTTTTGAACTTGCAAATTGTGACTTTTTTTTCTTGTAGTTTGATTTGGTGTCTCAACTCAATTAGTTAGTTAAGAAAATCGTTAATTTGACTATTGTGAAACTAGAGTCAAAATAAAAAAAAAACTTCGAATTTCGAAAAAAACATTACACCAATCAAATCAATAATTTTAATGAAATGAATAACATGTGACACCAAATAAAAATAAAGAGAAAGATTATCCACGTTATAAATTGAAGCGAAAAATTATATTACAATCAAAACACGTTGTATAAACAATTAGCCTTACCTAAAAGTAACACATTTTTTTTTCAATGAAAGTAGCACGTAATAAAGCTCCGTATCGTTTGGAAGCTTCAAGTTTGAAGACCCCACTACCGATGACAGATGCTGCCGACCTTGTTTAGCACGTAATCAGTGACGTAATTAGTGACGACTCACAAGTCACATGGCTAATGCTACAGACCTTATATATTGCCCGTACTTAGTGACGTAATTAGTCACAAGTCACATGACTCACGTAATGAGTGACGTAATTGGTCACAAGTCACATGACTCACGTAATGAGTGACGTAATTGGTCACAAAACCCTGATCCATACAGTACCGTTTGGTACGTGAAACGGGACGGAACAGAGTGGGACAAGGTGTTCCGTCCCACGTTTGGTGCGCCTAAAACGGGTGGAACGAGCTGTTCCACAGGACGAGTTTTGGGTGAATTTTCTTTCCACCTCACCCTCCTGGAACGACTCGTTCCATATCCGTGGAACACAAAATTATAACCTCTCCGTCTCCTTCTTCTTCCTCCTTGTTTCCATCCGATGACATCTTTGCTCCCGCTCCGTTCCGTTCCGTCCTGTCCCGTCCCGTCTCATTCCGTTTCGTCCCGTCTGCATACCAAACGATACCTAATATTACGCGCACACACACACCACTTTCTGACTTCCCTGAGTGCAACTCAAATCCATATATAAGAATGAAGAATATAGTTTTAAAATGGAGGATTTGCGCCAAACAGCATTTGCATGCTACAAGGATGCGTCGACGGATATTCAACGGTTTGTAGATGAGTTTTTCTACGAAATGGATCTTGACGGGAATGACCGAGTGAAACTAGAGTCAACGCAATTAGTTAGTCAAGAAAATTGTTAATTTGATTATTGTGAAACTAGAATCAAAACAAAAAAAATTTCAAATTTCGAAAAAAATGTTACACCGATCAAATCAATAATTTTAATGAAATGAATAACATGTGACATCAAATAAAAGTAAAGAGAGAAATCATCTACAATTACAAATTGAAGAAAAAAAATTACATTACAATCAAATCGCGTTGTATAAACAATTAGCCTGAACCTAAAAGTAACTGGCTTTTTTGTTTGTTTTCAATGAAAAGTTGCACGTAATATTTAAGCTACTTATTCACATCACATGCGAAAGTTCGTTGAACCTAACCTCATTCTGAATGCAAGTTGCACGTAATATTTAAGCTACCTAAAGCCCTAATCCATAGTGTGTCTATATAACACCACATTCTGACTTCCCTGAGTGCAACTCAAATCCACATCTAAGAATCAAGAAGATAGTTTTAAAATGGAGGATTTGCGCCAAACAGCATTTGCATACTACAAGTATGCGTCGACGGATGTTCAACGGTTGGCAGATGAGTCTTTCTACGAAATGGATCTAGACAAGAACGACCGAGTGAGCTTGCAAGAGTTCACGGAATACATGGAGAGGCATGGAGATTACAAGCATCTGTGTAACTCCCTTTTTTTCGACGAACTAAAGAAGGAAGGACGTGAAGAGCTTGATTTCATGGACGTGATGACTGTCTTGTACATTATTTATAGTGGAAAACCTTTTTGTAACGGGCAGTGCAAAAAATTTATCAAGGGAGTTTATTTCGCTTGTGTCAAATGCTTTGACGATTGTGCCACTGATGCCACTAACACGTTCAATGTTTGCCCTGCTTGTTATGCTGATGGCAAATATGTCCATGGCCACGACAAATTCCTTGATAGCTTCCTGCTTCTTCAAAGCAAGAGGATGACAACTTTGAACCAGCAAGCAGCGTCAGTCATTAATGAGGTACATATGAATAATATCGTTCTATTTTACATCTTTTTGTTTCCATTTGTTTTATCATATTACATCTATTGTTCTATATTACATATGAGCAATATCTAATTCCTTCGTTTTCCATTTGCTTGAACAATTTTTATGCAATGCTAGTCAAAGGCACTCGAGTATGGAAGTACATCGGAGACAAGCAATTCGTCTTCTCCAGCTCCTCCAGCTCCTCCTCGTCCACTCACACCTCATACATCCAATGCAATGGTTCCCGTTAATCCAAGGCCTAAAAATGTAATTAGATGCCATTCCCCTCTTTCTTATTATTATGGACAGCCTAGCATTCTCATACATACATACATACATACATACATACATACGTACATACGTACGTACGTGCATATAAATTCTTAACATATTAGACTTCTTAATTGCTGACTCAGTAACCATTTTTGGGTGCGCGTATTAATTTTCAGAGTGCCGGGAGGAAAGCATTGAAGACGATAGAAATGCTACTGGCCCTGGGAAATATCTTTGCTGCCACTCAGTGCACCATCATGTGAAGATCTTCTACCAATTATACCAAGTTCAATCAACCTGGCAGTTGTAACCAAACCAAGTTTTCTGATAGTAAACTCGATAAAATGAAGGGTTTGATCACAAATAATCCCTGCCAGGTGGGAAACTCATTTTCGTCCACATATAATGTTTCAAATGGATCAATGTCGCCCTCTATGTTTTCCTCGTTGAAAAATATTAGTATTATGGTTATTTGATTGTTTGAGTTTGGTTGTTAGTTTAGTATATGAGTTTAGTTCATCCGAATTATAAGTTTTGCTCTCTATAAATATATCTTATAGTTTAGTATGAAGTTAAGTTAGTCACGATGTAATCTCTTACGGGTTTGTAGTCGTTCCGACATTCTCGTTTGTTTAATAATATGACATTCTTGTTTGTTTAATTATAACAGCTTATCATCTATTTTCGAACGATTTTATGTCAAGCAACTACGCAAGTAGGGAGAAATTAGCACCGCTTAAAATAAAATATAGAATTCAAACACTAATAACTAAAACCCTTAAGCTTTACCCAAAGCTTCACAAAAATTTCTACAAATGCCAAAATTTGCAACCACGAACTTATGCCCCTCACTTCATTCAACGTTGAATGAGATCTTTAGAGCTAAAGATCCTAACAAAATAATGGTGAGACTAGTGTAGATGATGCAGTAGAGGTGTTTCAGTAGATTACCATATTGTGAGAGTCAAAACATAACTTTTCCCACACAAGGACATCTTCACTACAGAGTTCTTTGCCTCTATTTGATATTGATTGGCATGGAATCCACATTTACATTTTGCTAGTTATAACGGACACCCTAGAGTATCTTTTTTTACAGTAGCTGAGACTGTGTAGGGAAAACTATATTTTGACTCTCATATTTGCCGAAATACCTATACTACATCATCTTCACTAGTCTCAACATTCTTCTGTTTGAATCTTTAGCTTTGAAGGTCTCATTCGATGTTGGATGAAGTGAGACGCGTAAGTTCATGGGCGCAAATTTAGGCATTTGTATAAAAAGCTTTGAAGTTTTGGGTAAAGCTTAAAGTTTTTGGGTATTAGTGTTTGAATTTTATATTTTATTTTAAGGGCACTAATCTCTCACTACTCGAATAGTTGCTTGATATAAAATCATTCGAAAATGGATGATAAACTGTTATAACTGTTTTCATTTGTATCTGACTGGTTTTGGAGGTAATACTTATGTTTTTAACTAAACCAATCTGGCACATTTTTACTATTCTACTTAACTTTGTATTGTTTAATTTCCAGTTATAACTATGTCAGTTTAGCATGCAAAAAATATTTTGGAGATGTAAAAATGATGGTTTTGATGAATAATGATTTTTAGTGATTTGTCTTTATTCTTTTTGTGAATTTATTGTTATCTCTTCTTTGCTTATTTAGCTTCCGGTCCCTTATCAGCGTATTTGTTAGTTTGAAAACTTTGATTCAAGTCTTTTTATTATTTTACCCTGACAACTCATCTTAACAATATGCAATATGTCCTGTTAATTACTCTCTCTCCAAATTAACCCCAATATATTATCCTAAACCTATCATGTATATCACGTAGAGTAATTAATTTGATTTTCAGATTTTAGTTCTATATCAACACTGCACAACTGTGGACAAAACCAGTTAGAAGCCACAACAAATTCCATTCCGTATAATTGTTTAGGGTTTTACTCTTTGCACCCAGAAATCAATTTTTTTTGTTTGGTCTTACTACCCACGGAACGCAAAAACCAACTTTTTCTTTCGATCCTTGTACTCATATATATTAGGTCACATTTATATGAATAAGCAATATAGGGTGCTTATTCTTCATCGTATAGTTGCGTGGAAGGCTTTTTTACCTTTGCTTTTTTATGCCAATTGGAACCAGATGCTCCTGTTTAATGCTCCTAAATGCCAATTGGAACTAAATGCTCCTAAATGCTCCTGTTTAATATAACTAGTTTGTATGCAGTGCATGCAAACAAAAGTGCTAAGTTCTATATATATAAGTATAAAGAGAGACGGAGAAAGAGTAGTTAGTGTTGATGTGTGGAGTCTATATATATAAGCATTTCCTCTTTCTAAAGTTCTTGTGCTTTGGTGTGACAATGTATCTGCCATCTCTCTAGCATCTAATCTTGTTTTCCATGCTAGAACCAAACACATCGAAATTGACTATCACTATATTCGATAACTAGTCCTAGCTTCTCTTCTTCAAGTTCGATTTGTTCCCAGTCATCACCAAATTGCAGATATTCATACCAAATCCTTGTCCAAAGCTTGATTTTAGCTTCTCAAATCCAAGCTTTCCCTTGGTACTCCTCCGTTCAGCTTAAGGGGGTGTAAAGAGACATATCATTCTCAACAGTCCAAGTCATCAATACAGTCAACAGTAGAGTCAACAGTTACTTAGTGTAGAAGTTTTGTTTGTTGTAACTGCATTATAACTAATCATAGATTAAGGTTAATTAGTTACGTTTGTTAATAACTAATGTTTATTAACTGATTTGTATAAATACCCAAATGTAAATCTTTTAATCAATGAGAAATATATTTTTAATATATCTACATTAGATTGGATTACGAATTACTTGAAAGGCTTTTTCATTTATATGTTTCATTAATCTTTTTTCTTTTTCTTTTTTTTATGAACTTGCAAATTGTGACTTTTTTATTCCTGTACTTTGATTCGATGTCTCAACTCAATTAGTTATTCAAGAAAATCATTAGTTTGACTATTGTGAAACTAGAGTCAAAACAAAAAAGAACTTCGAATTTCGAAGAAAATGTTACACCAATCAAATCAATAATTTTGATGAAATGAATAACATGTGACACCAAATAAAAATAAAGAGATTACAAATTGAAGCGAAAAATTACATTACAATCAAAACACATTGTATAAACTATTAGCCTTACCTAAAAGTAATACGTTTTATTTTTTTAGTTTTCAATGAAAGTAGCACGTAATTCAGCTTCTTATTGTTTGGAAGCTTCAAGTTTGAAGACGAAACCCCACCACCGAAGACTAATGCTACCGACCATATATAGCACGTAATTAGGCACATCACAAGCGAAAGTTCCTTGAAACCTAACCTCATCCATAGTATATATACCACATTCTGACTTCCCTGAGTGCAACTCAATTCCATATCTAAGAATCAAGAACATAGTTTTAAAATGGAGGATTTGCGCCAAATAGCACTTGCATACTTCAAGGATGCGTCGAAGCAAATTCAACGGTTGGTAGATGAGTTTTTCTCCGAAATGGATGTTGACGGGAATGACCGAGTGAGCTTGCAAGAGTTCACGGAATACATGGAGAGGTATGAAGATTGCAAGCATCTGTGTAACTCCCTTTTTTTCGACGAACTGAAGAAGGAAGGACATGAAGAGCTTGATTTCGTGGACATGATGACTCTCTAACCTTTTTGTAACGGGCAGTGCAAAAAATTTATCAAGGGAGTTTATTTCGCTTGTGTCAAATGCTTTGACGATTATGCCACTGATGCCATCAACACATTCAATGTTTGCACTGCTTGTTATTCTGATGGCAAATATGTCCATGGCCACGACAAACTCCTAGATAGCTTCCTGCTTCTTCAAAGCAAGAGGATGACAGCTTTGAACCAACGAGCAGCGTCAGTCACTAATAAGGTACTTATGGATAGTAACGTTCTATTTTACATCTTTTTTCCAACTCGAACCATCCACCTTCAACCTAGACCCAGTATTTTAGGCCCAAGCACTAACATATTAATTAAGAATCTACGACAGCTGATACAATTTGATTATAGGAATAAAAGATGTTATTCTTACCATTTATATGTATCATCTCTCTAATAGAGATAGTACCCATATGTTTGGTGGCTCTATCTCTATTAAAGAGATGACACAAATAGATGGTAAGTGTAACACTACTCTACATAAAATTGCTAATCGCGTACAAGGCTTTGTTTGGTGTCTGGGTCGTTTCTGATACCAACCTATAGGCTATAGTGTGTAGGTCGTCGGGAAAGTATAATTTCTTTTTCTAAAGTGTGGACTACTAGTACTGCCAATACAATGACCAAAATGAAATTTCGAGTAAACTACATTGACAAATAAAAAATATTCAATTGGATCTTGCTATAAAAAAATATTATTCAAGTTTCAGCCATAGTTTCGTGGACAAATAAAAAAAATATTCTCAATTGGAATACTTGAAAGAACTAGCAATTTGTGTGACTTTTTTTATGTCTAGGTCGTCGGGAAAGCATATTCTTTTTCTATGAATGCGGACAACCAGGACTGCCAAATACAATGAAATTTCGAATCGACTACATTGACCATTAGTCGATTCCATCTTTTTGTTTAGCAAACTTTCAAGTTTCAATCCATATTTACCATTTTCGTGGACAAATAAAAAACTTATTCTCAATTGGATCTTATCGGCATCCCTCAATTATTGAAGTCGGTTAATGATAAGCGAGTACTTGTCCTGCAAGTTCAGAGTACAACCAAACCCCATAGAAAATTTAAAAGCAAAACTCTCACTTTATACTAATAAATAATTCGTTACATATTGGTATTTTCCGTTAACTTATTCAATGGCGGTTGCAGTGATATATATCGGCATTAGATTGGATTACGAATTACTTGAAAGGCCTTTTTGTTTATATGTCACATTAATCTTTTATTTTTCTTTCTGAACTTGCAAATTGTTACTTTTTTTCCTATAGTTTGATTTGGTGTCTCAACTCAATTAGTTAGTCAAGAAAATCGTTAATTTGACTATTGTGAAACCAGAGTCAAACCAAAGAAAACTTCGAATTTCGAAAAAAAACGTTACACCAATCAAATCAATAATTTTAACGAAATGAATAACATGTGACATCAAATAAAAATAAAGAAAAAAATCATCTACAGTTACAAATTGAAGCAAAAAATTACATTACAATCAAAACGCAGTGTATAAACAATTAACCTTAACCTAAAAGTAACACGTTTTTTTGTTTATTGTCAATAAAAGCTGCGCGTAATATTTTAAGCTACTTACGAGTGATATCACATGCAAAGGTTCCTTGAACCTAACCTCAAAGCCCTAATCCATAGTTTCCTATAAATACTACATTCTGATTTCCCTGAGTGCAACTCAAATCCACATCTAAGAATCAAGAAGATAGTTTTAAAATGGAGGATTTGCGCCGAACAGCATTTGCATACTACAAGTATGCGCCGACGGATGTTCAACGGTTGGTAGATGAGACTTTCTACGAAATGGATCTAGACAAGAACGACCGTGTGAGCTGGCAAGAGTTCACGAAATACATGGAGATGCATGGAGATTGCAAGCATCTGTGTAACTCTCTTTTTTTCGACGAACTAAAGAAGGAAGGACATGAAGAGCTTGATTTCATGGACGTTATGAGTCTCTTCTACATTGTTTATAGTGGAAAACCTTTTTGTAACGGGCAGTGCAGAAAATTTATCAAGGGAGTTTATTTCGCCTGTGTCAAATGCTTTGACGATGATGCCACTGATGCCACCAACACGTTCAATGTTTGCCCTGCTTGTTATGTTGATGGAAAATATGTCCATGGCCACGACAAATTCCTTGATAACTTCCTGCTTCTTCAAAGGAACAGGATGACAGCTTTGAACCAACAAGCAGCGTCAATCACTAATGAGGTACGTATGGATAATATCGTTGTATTTTACATCTTTTTGCTTCCGTTTGTTTTATCATATTACATCTATTGTTCTATATTACATATGAGCAATATCTAATTCCTTCGTTTTCCATTTGCTTGAACAATTTGTGCACCTTTGTTTTATTATTCTCCCTAGGAAGAACGTGAAATTCACCTGCATATTCAGCAATTTTTGTTTATTAATTAATTCTCTATTTTATGTAATGCTAGTCAAAGGCACCCGAGTATGGAAGTACATCGGAGACAAGCAATTCGTCTTCTCCAGCTCCTCAAGCTCCTCCGGCTCCTCCTCGTCCACTCACACCTCATACATACAATGCAATGGTTCCCGTTAATCCAAGGCCAAAAAATGTAATTAGATGCCATTCTCCTCTTTCTTATTATTATGGACAGCCTAGCATTCTCATACATACGTACGTACGTACTTACGTGCATATAAATTCTTAACATATTAGACTTCTTAATTGCTGACTCAGTAACCATTTTTGGGTGCGCCTATTAATTTTCAGAGTGCCGGGAGGAAAGCATTGAAGACGATAGAAATGCTACTGGCCCTGGGAAATATCTTTGCTGCCACTCAGTGCACCATCATGTGAAGATATTCGACCAATTATACCAAGTTCAATCAACCTGGCAGTTGTAAGCAAACCAAGTTTTCTGATTGTAAACAAATAATCCCCGACACGTTGGAAACTCATTTTCATGTTTCAATGTCCTCGTCTGTGTTTTCCTTGTTGAAAAATATTAGTATTTATGGTTATTTGAGTTTGGTTTTGATGAATAATGATTTTTAGTGATTCGTCTTTATTCTTTTTGTGAACTTATTGTTCTCTCTCCTTTGCTTATTTAGCTTAATTCCGGTCCCTTATCAGCGTATTTGTTAGTTTGAAAACTTTGATTCAAGTCTGTTATTATTTTACCCTAACAACTCATCTTAACAATATGTAATATGTCCAGTTAATTACTATCTCCAGACTTATCCATATATTAATTAACCCCAATATATTATCCTAAACCTCCCAAACCTATCATCTACATATAAATATAAAGAGAGACGAGAAGGAGTAGTTGGTGTTGATGTGCGGAGTTTAGATAGACCTGAATTGTTTTGCCAAGCTTATGATTATCAAGGTGAGTGGTTTATGTAATGTGTTGCAAATACTAGACCATAAACTACTTTTCATAGCATTCAATACATGCCATAAAAAGTATTTCATAGACTTTTCTCCAATTAAAAGAAAAGAATCGCAACAATGTACACTGAAACAGAAAGAAACGGAGTTAATTCACCTACGAGATCAACCTAGCTAATATTGCAAGAGGCAGGTGATAATGCACAATTGCATGGGACATAAACCTAAAGTACGAAGGCCAGAAAAAATTTAATTACCCTTCTCTATTTCCTCCATCAATGATCTCTGAGAATGAATCATACTTACCTTCTGAGTTCTGAGAATGAATCATACTCTGGAGTCTGCCTTGCCATGTTGTCAAAGGAATGGCTAAACCACGATGTATCTCCCTCCATGATCAAGAGGAGTAAAGTGAAAAGAACCTGAACACAAAAATTCTTATCTAGAAAAAACAATACACAAAATTATGTTAATGACATTCTCTTGCCATTACACATTAGCGATCGCGACATTAGCATCACTAACAATATATTTGTTTTGAAACCCATGGTCCAAACCAATACGAGTCGGAGACTCAGACCAATTCAAAATTGACGAATTAACGATGGCATATCAATTCCAGATGACAGCTATATTTACTCACTCATCTAATATGATTGACTGATTCACGACACAATAATCATCAGACAATACTGCTCACTTCTACCTTTAATAATTACATAAGGGGAATGAAACATGATTCCGATTAATCCAAAGGCTACACATAAGCAGAAATCTATCCACCTTCCAAGATTTTTATTCGTTATTCCCACAGCAAAGATTCATTATCCAGAATCCAAATCATTATTCATTCTAAAATAAACGACTTGGTAAACCTTCAGACACTCCAATTGAAAAGCAAAACAAAAGAAAGGACTGTAGATGCAGCCAGAAAGTACATACGGTCTAGGTAATTGAATACCGGAAATTCGATACAGGAAAATCCCATATCTTCAAAATTATGGATGTGACAGAGAACGCAGCATAACCAAATTATATCTTACACAAATTCTATCTCGTACCAAAACAGAAAAATCAAACACAACTAATGAACCACATGTAACATTGCATGCAATGATGCAAACCCAGAAGAGAAATGATATCAAAATAACACTTCTCAGCAGCATATGGCCAATACTAATTGCAGAAGTTTACAACCCGCATCCAAAACAAGAGCAACAAAATAAAAAAGGGGCCTTTATAATTAGATTTGAAAGCAAAAACTTGTGCTTTTTCAATGAAATCAAACCCTAAGAGAGATTTGCGACTTCAAATATATTCAATAAAGTTAGATGAAAAGCTATTAGTTCCACTTGAGAAGGGTTATTTTTTCGTCTTTCTTACACTAAAATGGCGTATGCGCTGTTGTATGCATTGAGATTTGTGACTTCAATTCATTTATAGTACATTACATACTACTAGAGAAGGGTGATTAAAATTTCAATTCAATCTGTAGAACTAATTCCATCTGCAGAATTCAATCACCGCACAAGAAACTAAAGCTGACATTGGAGAAGTCCTATTTTTTGCTTACTGGAAAAGAAAACAATCGACGAAAAAGAAATGCATATTAGTCCACTGACATTTTGCGGTTGTTAAACAGAAGGTCTCACACCGGCAGTTTCGCCAAGGATGATTATACTGTTGACATTCCCACTTCCATCCCTTTCAGATGGGGACGATGTTGAAAGCTGCCAATCCCCATTAACAATGAACTTGTAGTAATACCTGCAGAACATCATCTTATCATTACTTAAAATGAAAATTAGATGAGCTCATCATGCGACATTTTCAAGATTAGCTAGTCTAACAAAACTTAAAAAGATTGACAAGAAGCAATGCATTGGCCTGATAGAAAATTCAACACTAAGAGTTAACGAAAAGCATTAGATCTCATGTTTTTATTCTAATCTTAAAAATCAAAATAACGCAAAGATTTTCGCTTACTTTCCTTTCTAACTACAGCCGTAGCATATTACTATCTTGCATTTAAAAGCGATTTGATAATTCTGATCTGAGCTTCAGCCATGCAATTAAACGTCAAAAAAACTAACCCTAACCAAAATTGAAAATTAATTTACCAACATTATAATACCTTGCTTCCAACGACGACTACGGCTGCGTAAATCGGAGATGCAAATTGTGGAATCAAACTTGAAGTTTTGGAAGGATCGGCTCAACCTTGACCGTTGGACATGGAAGCACGAAGAAGAAAGGATAAACAGTAGAGAGAAGAAGAAAGTACAAATCATTTCTTTCTTTTGTTACCGTTACAACTGAAAGGCCAATCCTTTTAAAGCCGAATACCACACCTCAAGGCTCAAATGTGTGAATGCCAGCTCGCAATACAGAACAGACTTATTTAAATCTAGCCCAATAACTAAAAGCTATTACAAATTGGCCCAATTTCATGAATTGTTCCAGCTACCCGTAACTTTTCAAATAAACCAAAGCCTACCTAGGCTAAAGGGCTTGTCACCACCAAAAGTCAAACACCACGTTCTCCATTCCATCACTTAATATTTCAAAAGCTCACGGCACCTCATGTTAATTGCCTAGCCATCATCTCATTTTTTACTATTTATCCGAAAGAGCATCTCAGATCTTTGGTTTAGTGTCATTATTATTCTCTCCCTCTATCTTAACACCCTTCACTGCTTTACTTGCTGACGCTGTATAAATTCATTGGCAGGTAGTTAGAGATCCTTTTATCTATGTAATTCTCTTTTTTCTGTTTTTTATGTATAAAAGAAATCTAATTAAATGTTAGTTCAAGACCGCCATGGTAAGATCGAGCATGAAATGCCATAGCTAATGGGTCGATTTACCTTCATCTATAAATAGAAGCAAAGCCATTCATGCTCAGGACCTTTATCAAAGTTTAAACTCTACGATTCAAAACTTCCAGTGATTTTTTAATCCATCCAATTCTCAAATGCTATCCAAAGTCAACTCCAAAACGATCACACTGATCAAAATTGTTTACTACTCTGCTACTCCGTAGTATAATTTCCACCAAGTTTTTTCGTCTCCAAGGTCCAATTTGTCCTACTTCATCCAGTCCAATATCAAATCTTACTAGTGAATCCAATGTTTTCCACTAAGTTTTCCGGCCTTGTTTAGCATTGTCCTGCCTCTCACGGTTAAAAATCTTACTAGCTAGTTTACTATTTCTTCATATTTTAAGTGTATTTCACTTTAATTCAGGAATGAGATGATTAAAAACATTTATCTTCTTTTTCTTTTGTTCATTTTAGTTCAAGACAAAAATAAGTGAACATCACACTGAAAACCAAAGTCATCGATTTTCGAGGCATATAGAAAACTTGTGCACGTCTATTTTACTTTTGACGTACCTTTTAATGGGTTGTCCTATTCAAACAATATTTTTTACTTCTCACAAATTTCGTGTTAATTTTTGACACATTCCGACCCGGAATGTCTACTTGGACTCCAAAATCGAGTTGTGTTGGCGGACGGACCTGGACGGTGACGAGACAATAAAGTGAAGTGTAGTGGAAAAAGGATGTGAATAAATTTAAACCTAAAAGTGTCTAATCAAAAGAATGCGTGGATGAGCGCTATTGAACTCATTTCACATGTGATGTCAGAGCATAAGACAGTATAGTAAATAGGATGAGGGTTATACCACTAAAGATAACCATCTCCTAAGATTTGCCAGAATCCTCGTTTACACGTAAGCAAACCCATTAAACCTGAAGGAACGAAAAACAAAGTTGAGTGGGTCAGCAAAACAACGTTTTGTACAAAAACCTTTGTTTTCGAACATACTAACCCATCGTCGTAAAACAAGTATAGTTTTCTTAAAATCATACTACGTATAAGTATGAAGATTTAATGCATACCAACAATATATAGATTTAATGCATACCAACAATATATAATAGAAATATGCCAAAACAGGAATAATTCACAACAATAGAAATATAGGCATGTGCTTGACAAATATACTAGCACGCAAGTCGGAGTCACCTATGGCTCATCAATCTATATTAGCACACAAGTCGGAGTCACCTAACGTGACAGGCTGGGTGTAATAATAATATACGTTCTAGTGCTATGATCACGTGAAGCTTGCGCTAAGTGCAATCACCTGACCTGTACGACAGGTTAACATCTAACTTGGATCCAAGATGAACATGCGGTGTAAGAGGTGAACATACACGTGAAGGCTGGCCCTGGCCCCGAGCGAAAGCACTAACACCAGGGTGTAGTAATGATGAGCTAACTATATGAATAAATGAATGCCATACAATTCAAATCAATATAATAAACTCACTTGAATTTACTTGCGCGTGCCGTAGAATCATTTTAGTATTCTACCACAGTACTATATATATAAGCAGGTAAAATGCGTATGAATATGCCATAGCCATTTTAATTCCAATCACAAAGCAACATTTACCAAACTAAACTAAAATTATGGCATAATAGGCGTAAATCCATTTAAATGCATTTGTGGAAACTATAATTCATATATATATATATATATATATATATATATAAGTAAACTGCCCACTCACAAATATGCAGTCGAAACGAAGCCTCCGAGCCTTACTTGACCTCATACGTCCTTGGGATACGTTTCCCCTATATGTGAAATTACCAATTAACTTAGTTTAATAACACATAAACGGAAACTTAAATAAAACCTCCATACATTGTTCAAACATAGGGTTTGTATATACGAAATCGATCCACTCGACGTCACAGACCTACACAAAATTTCAGAATATTTTTTGGATGCCGGACGCGCCGCCACTCCCTGGCTATGGCACAGCCACACGCACCAGCCATGCAGAGCTGACGGAGGCCTAACAACCGTTAGGAATATTCCATTAAAAGGTAACAGAAGTTAACGGCGTTTATGAACACAAATTTTCCTGAAACAAGAACACGTGTACAAAATATATTTTGTATTAATGATTTTGGGGTTACAATCTCTTTTACAATTTGACCCTCTGATTCTATCTTCGTAAGTGTAGATCTGTGAATAAGTTGTTGATCCAAAGGGTCATCGGGGCTTGGTTTAGGGATGAACAGTTGTGCGGATTTGTTGATGTTGTTGATCCAAAGGGTTGTCGGGACTTGATCTTAGGATGAACGGTTGATGAACGGTTGATGAACGGATCTTCAAGGGGTTTTGGACTTGATCTTGAAGAAAGGGTATGTGGATTTGTTGGTTTTGTTGATCCAAATGGCCGTTGGGGCTTGATCTTAAGATGAATAGTTGATGAACGAATCTTTAAGGGCTTTTGGGATTGATCTTAAAAGAGAATTTGACGAAGAACGAAGAGGGCTTTCTTGATCATTCGGGATTTGCTTGAGAGCTTTAGAGTTTCAAAGCTTCAAGGTTTTGGTGTGATGTGAATTGGTCTCCTTTCCTCTTTTTATCCCTTGATGGAGAAGCCTATTTATAGACTTTGAGAGTGAATCACCACCATCCATTTTTTTTGGTGATGTAGGTGAAATGAGTGGAGTTGGTAGGTGAAGTAAGTGTGTGATGTGGGTGAAATGAGTGTGTGATGTAGGTGAAATGAATAAAGGTTGTAATTTTAATGCATTGGTCAACATTTATTTCACTAAAATTTCAATGTCTACAAATGCCCCCACTTCAAGGCGCGTCGTATACATGTGCTTGTCACGTGTAGAAGATGCGTTTTGAAGTCCCTTAATGTAGATGTCGATCTAAGGGTCGTTGAGGCTTGATTTTGAATTGGGCTGGAAATTTCTTCAAGGGCCATCGGGGCTTGATCTTGAATTCGACTCGAAGATTTTCTAGTCCTCCAATCGTTGATTTTCCACAGGCTTAATCTTGAACTGGGCTAGAGGGCTTTTTGGTCTCATCCAAAGGTCTGAACTTACTCCTTTTATCTGGAGCTAAATTTGATTCAACGGTGGTGAACACTTGATTTTGAATCGGACTTGTGATCTCTTCAATGGCCATCGAGGCTTGATCTTGAATGAAAATAGCACCAAGAGCGGTTTCAGGATTCGGACACATGGCAGGCAAGCACGAGGTGGAGGTGATGACCTGTTTCTTTGTTCAATCTTTCCAATTCATATTAAAGAAGGTTAAGGGATGAATCACTTAATATTTCAAAAGCTGAGAGCAACTCCACCCCTAAAGACTTTGCGCTAGCACCCAACCCATTTATCCACTTCAGTGAACAGTAATAGACCCTAATGAACAGTAATAGGCCAAAGCATCTCCACCCCAAAAAAAATGTGCTGGCACCCAGTCTAAAAATGCACTGGCACAAATGATCTCCACCCCTACAAAATGCGCTGGCACCCAGTCCATTTAAAATATCAAATAATTTTTTTATAAAATAATAAATTTAAAAAAATAGTTTTGATTTCGAATAAGATTTTTAACCAATCTCGTCACGCCACGTGTCATTATCCGAACGTACTATTTTGTGAATAGATTTCCGCTAAGATTTTCAACCAATCCCTACAAGCCACATGTCACTTCCTGTTTACAATAATTTAGGTAAGATTTCGATAAGATTTTTAACCAATCTTGTCATGCCACGTGTCATTATTCGAACGTACATTTTGTAGATAGATTTCTGATAAGATTTTCAACCAATCCTGACACACCACGTGTCACTACCTGTTTACAATAATTTATCCAAGATTTTGATAAGATTTTCAACCAATCACGTAGTGCCACGAGGCATTGTCCAAAACCTCATCTTCTCTTTTTTTTTGTCCATATAAACCTTACATCCATCCTCACACTAAACTCAATCCTTTTTTTTAGCTCAGAATTCTTCTTTATCGTTTTCAAATCTTGAGTTCTTACAATGTCTTCTTCAAGGAGAGTGTATAAATAGTTGCAAGAGCAGCAGAAAAGGTTGTTGGCACAACAGGATGAAATGGTCAATCTTGACAAAGGTGGAGGTGGAGATGAGGCCTTCGCAATGGAGGAGGATGAGGATGATCACCATAGAAGGCGGAGGACCTCACATTCCCGCCGTATCATGAAAACTGTGGGTCAGATAGCCAAACCTAGAAGTGTGGCAAACATTGATAGAATAAGGGAAAGACGAGGTAAAGATCTCTTGGAAGATTATTTTATTCCCAACAGCGTTTTCCCTGATCATGTTTTTAGACGTCGTTTTAGAATGCAACGAAGTT